CCCCAAAACCCCAAAACCCCAAAACCCCAAAACCCCAAAACCCCATTAAAATTTCGACAAATTGCAACAATCTGAATCTAAGAATATATTAACTTATTTCTTTCTAGGTAATTTTGGCTTCTGGATCAACTTCTCGAGTTCAGTTGGTTCTTTCTCTTCTTGAATTTTAAAGCAAGTTTCATCATCAAATTTCTCAAATTTGCTCTAAAATTATAAGCTAAACTCTCTACCTCAAGTATCTCTTCAAGGAGCTTAAGTTCTTTACTGTTTGGTTTGAGGATTACAGGTTCTAAAGATAATACTTAGCCTTACTAAACTCTATTCCCTTAGAAAAATTGAAAGCATCACAATATCTAATATACTTGACCTCCTTCAAAGCCTTAACTTTGAATACCTCTTTCAAGGTGTCAAGGACCCAAGAGTATCTGCATGGACCCATCATGTAGACTACAACTGTGAGGAATGTAGACTTTGGAAGCATTCTAAGATAGTCTAAAATTAGCTTGCATTCTCTAAAGATTATGACCATTTTAACCTCTTTCTAAAGTTATACGAAATCCTGGCTGTCACCCTAGGACAACTCAGATTTGGGATATATGGATTCTCCTTATGTACAAGGTTGATCTCTTCCAAACAATGTTCTGGCAGACAAGCCATAGAATCATTCGGAATCATGTACTCTAACTTGGCCGAGTAGGACTCTCTAGTAGTTTTGAAGATCCCTTTCAAGTCATTGAATTTTTCAGTGATCTCAGTGGTTTCAATTCTACAGAAAGAGAGTTTCTCAAAGTAGAGGAAACCTTCCTTTGAGTACAAATATTTTCTGTCTTTGAACCCTATTTCAATTTCCCTTGCCTTGAAACAAATGTATTCCTTTTTGGATGGATCGTACCAAATCAGCAAGCTGTTTGACTAAGAATCAGATTTAGAACAAATTTGAGAACTGAATTTGGAATGGAGATGATCAGATGATCATAAATTTTGAGTCTTTTTCAACTTACTAGTGTTAAATGGCATGCATTAAAAATTCTCTCGCCAAACTCTATTGAAACAATCTATGAAAATTAGAGCTTATCTTACTTTGACTGACTGAAATGGGCAGCTGGTTTCACCTAAATTAATTTGAGCTTAGTTTTGAAGGAAATTTCTTGATTTTATTGCCTCAAAATGAGGTTTAGAAGTTTTGTAAAAATAACAAACTAAGTAAAATGTTGGCATACTGTTGATATTAAATGAGTCTAGTAAGTTCAAATGGTTACACTCTTGGGGAATATCAGCTCAAAGAGTAACAAAAGTAAGCTGATTGTCTGCTGATAGTTTGCTTTCTTCATGGACTCCTTCCTTTTCCTCCTTGAAAATAAAAAATTAATCCTACATCGCCATTATATTTACTCAAGAGGTGCTTAAGGGACCATTTCAAGGCTCCCAAACTAGCATATCTCTCTCCCACGACTTCGACCTTGAGGTTATTCCTAGCTTGAGGTACAGCTTTGATGAACTAAAGTTATGCAAAATCCTCACATTTGGCAAGTACTCTGTTGTCTTTAGAATCGAATACTTATGATACTGAGTTATTATCTCTATAATAGTGATAAGTTAGAGATGTAATTGTATAAGTAGAGATCATTACTTGAATAATCTAAAGAAAACTTGACCTGGCACCCCCTGATCTTGCTCTTGACTTGCTCAATGAACTCCTGCAAAGCCTCAGGATGTAGTTCCTCCCACCAACAGACTTCTATCTCCTTTCAGTCAGGGATTTGCTCTGTTTCGATAATTGTTCTGAAGGTTTGAAGGTCTTCTTCTGATTTTACAATTAATCTTAGACTATACCAATGTTAAAGCAGATTTTGGGTAAACATTTTTGGTGAATCTAGCCTATAAATTTTACTAATTTTCAGTAATCATTAATGTTTTTACCTAAAAGATTCTTAACTCCCCCCCCAGCACAGAGGAGTTTAGCGTATAGAGATATAGTCGGGATAGAACAGGCTGAACAAGCACTTTTATAAATTGTAAAATCTACAATGGAGCTTCAATGAATTTCCATGAAAATGATATGTTTGATTCCTATTTTTAGAATTTTGAGTCAAAATCCAAAATATTTATTATGGTTTTTGTTAGAGATAGTAAAACCCATACGAGATGCTTTTATTTGAGTTTAAGAAACTTTCATGCCAAGATTAAATAGCTGAGAGATAAAACCTTAACAGTAAGAATAGAAATATTGAAATCTAGGGACGATAAATATCCCTTTGGTTATAAACTTAGTATTAAATTTCTCTCTGATTAGTCTTAACCCAGCTAACTGCTAATGTTGTTAACTAAAGATGAATTAATGGCCGAGCTCAAATGATGTATTCAAACAAAGGGTGGTATTGGTTTTCTCCATCTTGGATTTATTCCAAGAATGCACTTACCTCTTGTTTGTAACACTTTTCTTAAAGGCATTTTTGTTCTTCAACCAGCACTGCCTAGTTGCTTTACACAAGCTGACCATCAAGTGTTGGCACCCTGCATACCCTGAGTAATAAGGGAGGATATTGATTCAATGCGAGAATTTGGATAACAAACAAATCTGTGATAAGGTTTCCATTTTCAAATTTATTATACATGCCTGGGGTTTTGGGGTTTTGGGGTTTTGGGGTTTTGGGG